TATTGTATATTAGTACTATTTTACATAGGAAATAATAAATAACTCAAAGATATTTCGAAACGTTCCTTAAAATTAGGAGGGCGTTATGTACACAAAGGAAGAAAGAAGGAAAAGGAAAAAAGAACAGGAACAATAAACATGAACGAACATGACCCCCTCCCGGTGTAATTTCACCCACAGTAGCGCGATCGCGCGATCGCGAAGTCTGAACGCGCTCTAAAAGGGCCCTTATTAGGGGCGTTTGCGGGTTTCTTTTGCACAATGATGGGCCCCCTTAGCAACTTCCCTTCCATAATTCGGCGCTACTAGCCACGCTTCCTATAGAGGACCGTGTCTCTGCTTATCACTAATGAGCCGCGAAATAGTAAACGGTAACTTGGATGGATAGGAGACCTAGGGCTCAAAGAAATCCCACATTTGCTCGAAGAATCAGGCGGCCGAAGCGCGGTCGCTTGCTACTACGTTCACTGCAGCCGAGCGGCCTAAGTTACAGGCCTCTCACCGGCAAAATCATGCTCCTACTCCTTGAGTCTGGTCAAAATAAATATGTAAGGTGTTTCTCCTGACAAAGACCTTCTTCGGCCAATTAAAGAAAAAAAAATGACACACTGAATACGTCTGAGCGCTTCTGTATATAGCGCATACCAGGAGAAGCAACTGTTTTTTGGTATGTGACAAGACAATCGTAATATCGCGCGCCGCCAGACGTGGAGCTCGATGGACGAGTTGTCCTGTCAAGTCGTTTCCATATGAGTGTCAAAGCGATGGGAAAATCCGATCTCGCCCAGCAGGGGTCTTGTCTCCGCTTGAATTCATAGAATTCATGAGAATTTCGCTGTTCCGATCGAAGTGCTGATCACACCGGGAATTTGTTACGCGTCACCGCACGATACGCCGCGCGCGACGACGTGACAAACTGCGATGTCTTGTTCGCCTGCATCTGTTCTGTGTGCCCTTCTTTTGAAGATTTTCAGAGTGTTCTAGTTCACGCAGTTCCATTCTTCCTGACTATCATTGAGCCCTGACTTGAGAGGTACAAGGCAAGAATAAATGGAAAAATTATGAAAGTTTCAAAATGCTGAACTGCAGAATTCACCCTTTATTGATAAACAATTACAAACACAACAACGAGGTGATAACAAAAAGAAAACACTTAAAGCCAAACACTGGGAGATCGCTATGGAATGGTAACCAGAAACGTGAGTAATGGGAGAGAGAGAATTTCGCAAATTGAAAAAAGGAAAACAATCAATAGGTTGCACGGAGAGTCAACCAAGCACCAATCACCGAGTGATCAGCTTATCTTCAACATGTCCAATAGCACCAGTAGCAAGATAACATAGAGAAAAAAATAAAAGAAAAGTTACGCTAGGAATGTGGTGCCAGCGCACACGGGCTTGCACAAACGGCCAGCCACAATTTCCGCAGGGTTTACCTGCACTTGTAGCCGTCTGGTGCTCACCCCCGAACGCTCCACCTACAGTTCCACCATTTACTTTTCAAGGAAATTCCACGGTGAACACTTTACCGTCATCATCATCATTTTGCTTCGGTTTGTTTGAAGATGCTGAGTTCAGTAGACTTCATCCTAGTACTGTCTGGTGAAATTTTAATAAGTCTCTTCACCCCGTTAACGCATAGAACAGCTTGAGTCCAACCGGCATAGGTGCCAAATTTCCTTTCGTAGAAGTCCGCTGAAAAGTAGCCCTACTAAGAAGATATGACATCCCTTGATTAGGCTTAACTATATGTCGCTTATCTAATGACCCTCAACTTCATTCTGAGGATCACCCACACTCATTACATTTGCAAGCGAGAGGTGTAAGACGGGGTGGACTGGTGGCAACCAGAGTGGGCGTTTTCACCAATTATGTACATTTGCAAGCGAGAGGTGTAAGACGGGGTGGACTGGTGGCAGCCAGAGTGGGCGTTTTCACCAATGATGCCACTCTGAGCTCGCACAAAAGGTGGAGAAGGCTGCCCTAGCTGCGCTCCAAACCAGCGTTCTTCACACACCTTCTCAGTGACACGCAGTTCCTCTCTGATTGTGCGTTTCGACAGCCCCCCAGTATCTTCAGTTCTTTCAAACCTGTGAACTCTCGCGGAGCTGTTAAGTGGTACTTCCTTATTCATGGCTCTATGTACCATTTCGTAGCTTGACAAGATCTCACAGGTCTTCACGTCGATGAGAGCAAAGAAAATACCTTCTCTCCACCTTTTCCAGTGCGAACTGAAATAGGGTTCGCGTTAGCTTATATATGGGGATAGAACACACCTACAACTGTATGAAAAAGCTGTTATTGTTTGATAACTGCTGTTTAACGCCGCAGTGCGCGATCCGAAAGTTATCACAAGAATGCTGAGTTGTGGGTCGGACCACGGACGGGATCCCGTCCGTGGTCCGACTTTTGCCCACAACTCAGCAGTCTTGTGTATGGAAAGCACTGAGGAAGAATCCACCGTCGAAAACATGCCCTAATCTGAAGACAAGAAATTCGGGTCAGCAAAGCATGAGGGTCTTTTAGAAAATGTTCACAAGATTGCGCTAGTTTTACATGACTGGCAAGGTCCACTTGCACACACTTTATGCAGTTTGATTAAACATTGAAGGGGAATGTTCAGCTCAGTATTCAATGTCTCACGATTGAAGAAACTAACAAACTCAATAAAGTGTGTAGACTGAGGTCGAGCACCATAACTGAAACTTAAGTGTACTGCTGAAAGAATGATTATATGTAAACTTACTCAGAGATTCAATCAAAGCATTCGTTATCAGCATGCCTCCCAAACACGGTAAGTAGTACTGCGCTGTGATCTGGCAGGGACGCAATAAAGTCTTAGAAATGAATCACAATGTGAAAGCAATCGGTATCTTACATCAACAATTTGGCGAGTCATTGGAAAACACTGATTTTGTCCAAGAGACGTAAGAGCCACACATTCGGCAACCTGAAAGTGATAAAGTGAAATGGTTTATATCAGTGGAGCTCATCCAGAGACATACAGTTCGTAGCACATTGATCAGACGGGGCGTGGTGGGAGGAAAACCAGCCTTCGGCTGCCTTGCTCTACCCATGATGATTGGTTAGTGATCGGCTTGTAACCAAATGGTGGCAACGCCGCGAAAGGGCTAATTCTCTCTCTCACTCTCTCTCCCTCTCTCTCTCTCTCTCTCTCTCTTGAAACAGCGACGTCTGATTTCGATGTTATAAACCAAATGTGTGTGAAGAACAGGGAACGAGGAATTTGTGCCAGAAACGCAAGCGATCGCACTGGGCGTGATAGAAACAATCCATGGAATAACATGCTAGAAACTTATGTTTTACGAAAAGGCTAAACTATCGAAATACTTCACCTGAGGACTCATCCCTGGAAGGCTCAGAAGAAATTGGCGAATTTGTTGGGTCTGCAGCTGCTGAACGTCTGTGAGATATGTACTGGGCAAACGACCGAATAGTTTGATTGTATCGCTGAAAAGACTCAATCAAATTCACATAGGTAATCCATTATGGGATTAGTGAAGGCGAGCACAGTAAGACGTAGCCGCATTCAGCTGCAGTCATTCAGTCGAAATGCAGAGGGCGTGAAGGAGCCATGCATATGATTGATGGAAGGAGACGATCCGCTAATCGCAAAACTTCTCACAATCCGCATGCTCACAACTCGATATCAGCAGTAAAGTTTGAAACAAACATGAATGACCAGCGAAAATTAGTTATTTTGAGGGACCTAGTGGTCAACATACCTGAGACATTTGGCCGCAGGTGGGACGAGATGCTTGCAGAAGAAAGGTTCCAGGAGGTCCTGCACTCTCGTCAGTTGCAATAATGTAGGAAAAGCGTAACGCAGTTCCGGGAATAGAAATACAACTTGAGGGCCGACTGTACTTTGGTCGATAGCAATCAGATCACCGTATAATTGGGCCATGCTGTTAATAATAACTGAAATGATGAAATAATGGCACGTTCCGCCAACCATCAAAGAGATGCAGCGAACTATTGCTAACGAAAGATTCGCTCAATCGGTAAAACGACTTACTAGATGACCGATCAATGCCAGCGTTTATTGCGCAGATGGTTGCCAAAAGAGCTTCCAGTGGCTCCTGCTTGAGTATGCGAAGGCCTTGTACATCTTCAGAATGTCTCAGGTCAGCCATCAGCAAATCTTTTGCAGACCAGTTGTCCCATAGATCCATCAGTGAAACGTCTAGCTGAAATTGCTTCAAATCTGATCTGCTCCATAAATGACGACACTTGTATAGAACAAGGCTTCAGCAAAAAAAATTTAGATCCTTGAAAGTCGAAATTCCTACATCACTCCATGACTCTGGGATCAGTGTGTTTTGATAAAGCTTCCAAAAGATTAAGTTGAACATACATACGTGTGACGCGTGCTGGGCGGAGCAACCCCTCGCTCAAAATCAAGGCATAAATCAATAACGATCTGCACGTTTTCAAAATCTCACTTAGTTGTTCTTTTTTTACTGATGGATTACGCCTTGTCTCCCGTGATGACTTGGAAATGTCAAAAAATGGTCCGAGCCCGTTCAACTCAGGATGTCCTACTCTCACTGTTTCGTGTGAAAAAAAGTTAGCGCGAACATGTAGCCTGCGAATCAGTGTTGTTTGGAAACTAAGCCCTATAGTTTAAGGCTACAGCTGTTCCTCGTTCTACTACATTTACTTCTGGATGTCACGATGTTATATTGCACTGGACAAGTCAGACCAGGAGTCGTTATTCTAATGTTGACAACATCGACTAACCGCCACACACCCAATTGTCACTCCATCCCGGCACCATTACTTGTTTAGGACTATCAGTGTGAATAAACTGTATTGCGGCCCTGAAGGAACACTGCCGCCTAAACCTACACCCGGAAAAACGGCCGGACGAGTTTTACGTCCGCAAGTCGTCCACTTCGTTGTGGGACCACGCGTCCCTTTAACTTCATTTGAATTAGGATACTTCAATAAGAGCGGTTTTTTGTGAGATTACCGCTCTTGTGCGTAATCACAGTTAATAGGCGCAGTTTATCGACAGAGGGGTATTTTGCTTTCCATAAATGTGTCGACCCATCTAGATAGCGTTTTCTCGAGTTGACACGTTTTGGATGGCGGCTAGATGATCTTGCTCCAGGTTTACAAGCGTTCACAATTTTTACCAAAGTGAGATTTGCAAACCGGAACAAGGGAAGCAGTGATAGTACGAAATGCCCCCCCCCGTCGATAAACTGCGCCTATTAACTGTGGTTACGCATAAGAGCGGTAATCTCACAAAAAAAACCGCTCTTA